TTTGCAGCTTCTGGAGCTGAAAACAACCCACCTCTGGGCTTTTTATTAAAGGGCCAGCCTCTTTTTTTTAAACTGAGGTTTACTGGTCTGCCTCTTTTGCTCTTGAGCGGGGACGAAAAAACCCTATATTACGCACACTTTTCTTCTTCTCTGGAAACGTCTTCCCTTTTTCAGAAGATCTGGTCAAAACCTCATCCAGGCCAGAACCAAAAACAATAAAACCTCCTTCAAACGGTAGAGAACAAAGCCTGGATTTCGAAGTAAGGTCCCCCTCCCAAGATTTTAGCCAGATAGCTTGTCTGATGGAATTTAGTAGTGCCCCAGACCTTGCTGTGGCCCTAACAATTATGACAGTCCTATCTGGCGCTTTTTTGTTCATATCTGTACAATTATGACAGAAGCGCCTGCTAAATATGCAAAAGCCTTACCAAAGACTGACAAGGATTCCAGCACTTGTTTAGTAGGAGCTCCCTGAGAAATGTGCAAAGAAGCATGCTCCAACCACAGGTCCATATTGCATGCCACGCATGTGGCTGCTACTGCTGGAGCCCATTAGCATGCCATGTTCTACACAGTAGTGCCTGCGCCTTCCGATCCATCTGATCTTTAATATTTCCTGCATCTTAGAAATATAGATCAGCTTTCTTAGACGGTTGTGCCAAAGCCGCATCAAGGCTAGGACACTTGAAATATTTTTCTTCTTCTTCTTTAGCAAAGGGGAATCTACTTTTCCAGGATCTAAAACCCCCACTATTTTCTGGCTGGCTCCTTCCATTCACTTTCCACTAGCTCTTTAAGAGATTTGTGAACAGGAAGACACCTACCCTGTGTTTCTACCAGCCCCCTATAAAAAGGCAATCCTGAACGGACACAGCCCTAGGTGATCCGGGATCTGTTCTGTAGCATATATGGCTTGCAATAAGAAGTCCATATCTTCCAGCGGTAACAGATGCCTTGATGGTCAGGAATCCTCCCCCTCTCCCAAGGTCTCCCCTTCCTCTAAAAGGAACTTTCCGAACAGGATCCTGAAGCCAAGTCTTTTATCTGCACCTCTCTAACCATATCTCTAAGTAACGGGACAGATTTAACTTGTAACCCTGAAGGACCGGGCATCTCCAGAAGGGGCAGATAAAGTAGGTAACATCTTAGAAATTACAGTCTTAAATGACTGCATAGCTGCCACCATTTCAGTCCTCATTGAATCAAAGAAACCCTTCATTAGGGTAGAAGATTCAGTAGCTAAGAACTTTTGCATGCATGAATCACAGAAGGGTTTAGCATATCCAGGGGGGAGCTTAATATTAGTTACCGCAGCGCTTTTTTATTCTGTTTGGCAGCTGGGGCAGTTGGTGGAACAGAACCCTGGGTGGTCATTTTCTCAGATGGAGAAGGATCCTAGGCAATTCAAAAAAACACCATGGTAAAATGCCTACTAAATCTTCTCCTGGCTTTCCACCTAAAAACACTGCACCAGTCAAGGGAACCAGACTTACTCACTCCAACTTTGAACCTGGATACAGTAGCCGGCTTGCCCTCTTCCTGCATTAGAGCAATGATGGCTTCTTCTCCCACGACCTGTCCTGGGATGGTTGCTGTGCAGAAAGTGGCGTCCCGGTGTGTAATTGCAGAGAGGCGCGCAGCGGAAGTGAGGACAGCAGCGGCTGCTAGATCTGACTGCTCGAGTACCGGAACGCATGGCACGCCCCACCACCCGCACACACACCTGATCCACTGGACCAGCAAAGACAGGGCAGCACTGCTTGGGAGCTTCAGGACTCTTCCTCCCTGGGTAACAAAATGGGAGGTAGAGAAACCAGGAAAACCCCTCCGTATCCACAGCAAAAGCCTGAAAACAGAGCTGGACAGAGCGGGGACCCGCGACCACAAGGCCGACCAGTCAGGAAAAGAACTAATGTGACGAGGTTGCTGGCCTGGAAGATGGGAGAAAAGTACAGAATTACAGGTGAAAGTGTTTAGAGTAGTGTCAAAGAAGAGTTTCATCACAGAGAAATTTGTCAGTTGAAATAGCTTTTGCATAATATTTGGTAGGAGAATGGACAGTAACGTCAGGGACTAGAGAGCTGAAAACAGAAAAATGTGTAATCCATTTGTAGATGTAGGACAGAAAAAAACTAAAGTTGTATGCAATTTTTAGATATTGGCCAATGAAGTACCCATTTATTGGTCCAAAGTGTGTCACATCTGCACCATTCTAATATGTTCCAATAAGAGATGGAGGATATTTGATGGCAGCATTTGTACTGGCTATAATTATGAGGGACTTTCTATGTTTGTTTTTGTGTCACTAACTTGTATTCAGTTGACTCCAGAGCACCATGTTACCCAGTTTGGAACAGAAAATGTGCACAATTTGATTGGAGGGCAGTCCTGCAAATAACTCCTACTGAAAACAAATCTAACAAACACATAAAACTACTTACAACATTATTCCAAATCCTTTACATAGGTTTTTCTTGGTTTTGCCAATATTTATTTGCCCTTGAAGGAAACCCACAGTTTAGGATTTCTAATCCTATACATAATACATAATCATACACTAAAACAAGCATATATACCATGACATACACTGCAGTCATACACAAGGCGTTTCAACTTTTGCTCGCTTCGGCAGACTGGAAACCTCCTCAACACAACATTCCCTCTTGCTCTTTTGGCACTCTAAAGAACCCAGGTCTCCATTACAGTTTGACACCACTTCGGATTTAAGATTGTGCTCGCTTGATTCTATTTTAACAGATATGCCAGTCCATATGGGGATTTTAATATCTAGATGTTGCATGAGCTGTGTCATAACCTCATCGACATAACCATGGATGCACAAGTCAGCATGCCGGTCCTTAAGAAAAAAGGGGAAAAAAATGCTAATTAGGAAACAGCCACAAAGTACCACTAGAGTGCTCACAAAAGTAAAATGATATGGTGCACATGGGAACTTAATGCAATGTACATTATTAAACCACAACAGAGCCAAATGTCTTAATTAAAGAAGATATGCTCACCTGATCCTCGATCCCGCCTGACTGCTAGACTGGTCCCCACAGTCTCTTCTCCCCCAGGCTCTAGCGGTCTAAGGACCTGTGACGTCATCACATCTAGCGCAGGTCCATTCACCTGCATTAGATGCGAGGATGCCGAGGGACATGCCACAGCTGGAGCCGAGGGGGAAAGAGGCGAGTGCTGACTGCTGCAGTTCTAATTGTTGGAAATAGAATTGCATGTTAAAATAAACGGTTTAGAATGTTAAATTAGCAATTTAAAACATTACTGTAAATTGTAGCACATGACAAACTATCCAGGAATTTACAATACACCGGAAAAGATTTAGTATTACTTTTGGTTTCTTTTAGGACAGCAGTTGTACACCTGTGCCTTTTATCAAAGACATTCAAATAAAATGTAATTTGTCTTAACAGTTCATAAATCATAACATAGTTCACATTAAGCTAGAAATATCAGCCTTGATTTAAAAAAGGACACTATAATGTTTTTGGCTTAAATTTTTGCCATTTACATGTGAACTCATGACAGGATTCATAGAACACTATAGGTTGAAGTTTGCACCATTTGTCCTATTGAAATCTGGGACTGAGATGTATAGAAGAAAGTGGTGGTGGTGGTGGTGGGGAGGATAGAGAGCCAGTGACCTATTTTCTTCTCAAACTACAGAGCTGTGTAAAAAATTAAAACCTGAAAAAAAAGCAATACAATAGAAAAAAAAATATTTCATATTTGTCTGCTATTAAAAGCAAATTTTGTACTCCACCTGAAAATCCTTTTCTTCAGTAGTTCATTGGAGGACACATTAGACCACTGGGTATATGCCCCTGCCACTAGGAGATGGACACCAAGCAATGCATAGCAGAAAGCACAGATTCTATCTGTGGGATATCCCCACCTGCACTGCCAGTTAAAGCTAGAATTGGAAGAGGTAGACTTGGGAATTCTGTAAAAGTCGCAAACTAATTTTGGCAACAGACATGAAAATTATGGAAAACTCCATGAGTTGAGATCTATTTCCCCAGATGAACAGCTAAATATAAAGATTTAATGGCAAGTACAAATATCTTTTTTTCATTCACCGGGTGAAAGAGTAGACCACTGTGATGTCCAAAATAAGGGAAGGAAAAAAAATGTACATGTACACTCACAGGAAACACCTAGGCGTTTGGAAGTCTAGCTAATCACATGGCAACTTGCAAAACCTTTCAGCCAAAACAGGCCTCTGCCATGGCATGATGCCTACTCAGTAAAGCCTTGTAAAACGTGTTGACTAATGACCAACTTGCAATCCTCGGAAACAAGCTTGGTATTAAAGAGTCCAGGGCTTTTGACTATTCTAGTGAAGTAAGCAGCAAAAAGGAAAGATAACCGAATACCCCATTAGGTATTGCAAGGCAAAACTATTGTGCAATAGTGGGACTGGATAGCAGCAAGCCTTAGGTGAGCCATCAGGTATAAATCAGTGAATCTGACTTACCAAAAGAAGCAGTACAGTTCAGATATACATGCAGTAATGGAAAGGAAATTTCCAGATGACGGAAAGGCTATGTCCTATTAACTTTAAAAGAAAAAAAAGCATGGATGAGTTCACTGTACCACCTTAACCTGGCAGAATGAGGGAAAACACTCTTAAGATGGGAAAAAAAACCCCCAACACACACACACACACAAGGTCGAGGTCACAGGGCCACTTTGTCTTTACACAAAATCATAAAAAGGTGACCAGCAAGAGACGCCAATTCAAATACTCACCATGCCAAGGTGAAGTGAGCTGGATGAATGGAACTAGACAGATAGGAAGGCTTAAACAGCAGCAGAGAACAGAAGCACTGCATCTCTGCAGAGTGAAACAGTGCCAAAACGTGGACACCAGAGCTGTGTTCTCCTGGAATAGTAATGAACAAATTATTCCTGCTAAGAGAACAATCAGGCTGCATACAGTGTGAGGAGAGTCATCATCGGACAATATAAGAAAGGCTAAGAGTTGGGATGCACCGATACTGATACTAGTATCGGTATCTGTGCTGGTACCGAGTATTTAGGTGAGTACTCGCCCAAACTCTGATACCTTTCCCGATACTAGAACTTCCGGTCAGCGGGAGATTTCCACTGACTGGCAGTGCGGCAAGGAAAGATAGAGCCGGGAAGCTGACTCCATGCTGTTTAGCCGGCTCAATGCTGATTGGCCGGGAAGCCGGCTTCCCAGCCAATCAGTGTCGAGCCAGGCAAACAAATCTAATACCATAGCGACACGACCACCATCCGGCAGGAAACTAATTCCCCTTACATAGATCCTAAGCATTCTTTAACATACCAGCCCCTCGGCCAGATCTGCTGTCTCCTGTGTGCACACTGCACAGCGCTCACATGATCGGCGTTCAGCCTGCTACTGCGCAAGGACGGGATTTCTGAATGAGAGCACTGGGCAGTCTGAGTACGCGCAGTAGCAGGCTGAGCGCTGATCACGTGGGCGCTGTACACAAGAGATGTGGGAAGATCTTGGAATGCGGTGTCTGCCCACTTGGAGAGCACTGGCTGAGGTACTGGTACGTTAATTAATGTGGCTAAGGATCTATGTGAGGGGAATTAGGCGCCGGGTTGTGTCACCATATTGTCAGAGCCGTTGGCCGGCCTCGATGCTGATTGGCTGGAAAGCCGGCTTCCCGGCCAATCAGCATCCAGCCGGCCAAACAGAATGCATTCGGCTTCCCGGGCAATCAAGAAGACTTCCCGATTGCCCGGGTAGACGGCGACGACACAGACCTACAGGCTTACTACAGGTGATCTCAGGGGTATCGCTGAGATCACTTGTACAAAATGGGTTTCGGCTTCCCCGCTGTACATTTAGCCCTGCTTGCCTATAGCAGGGCTAAATGTAAGAAAAAAAAAAAACTAAAAAAAAAACCTACCCTCCTGGTGCCTGGAACTCCACACCCCCTAAAAGGTACCAAAAAGGTAATTTAAGCTGCAGGGTTCAAGGAAGCATGATCTTCATGCCAAGGACTGCTCGTGAGTTGGATAGCAGCAAGGGTGTGCAGCTGCTGCAGACAAGATCACATCCAGCAAAGGACCGAAGATAATCTACTGGAATGGTGGTCTCAGCAAATAGCCTGGTCCACAGGATGGACAGACAGGAGACAGATACAAGATACCAGGTTAATAGGGTGTCTCCAACTTACAAGGAGATCTGAATGCACCGTGTGATTGGAGATCTATTTGGCAAATGAGGTTTAATGTTGATAAATGTAAAGTTATGCACTTGAGGACTAAAAAGATGCATGCATCATACACTCTAGGGGGGAGTATGCTTGGGGGAGTCAATGGTGGAGAAAGATCTGGGTGTTCTGGTAGATCATTGACTGAGTAATAGCAGGCAATGTCAAGCAGCAGTTTCTAAAGCAAGCAAAATACTTTCTTGTATTATGCGGGGTCTAGACTCCAGAGATAGAGACATAATCCTGCCCCTGTACAAAGCATTAGTAAGACCTCATCTGGAATATGCAGTTCAGTTTTGGGCACCAGTTCACAAAAAGGATGTTGTGGAACTGGAGAAAGTGCAGCGAAGGGCAACTAAACTCATAAGAGGCAACTCAGCTATGAGGAAAGAGGAAATGCACTGAATTTGTTCTCTCTGGAGAAGAGGCGATTAAGGGGGGGAATGATCACCATGTATAAATACATAAATGGTCCATATAGTGGGCTTGGTGACAAATTATTCACTTTAAAAAGGAGAACTATGGGGTTAAGTCTTTTCCCCATAGTTCTCCTTAGGGTAACGGGAGGACACAAACTAGCGTCCTCCCGTCACCCTAGGCTCAGTATACCGAGACTCTGCAGCTGAAGCAGATTCCGACAATTGTACCGGGATCCGCACAGCTGCGTGACCGACAGCTGGCTCTGCCTATCTAGAGGCAGAGCCAGCTGTTCCCGCCCCTTCCCCTGTCCGATCCACCAGTCAGCGCTGGCGGATCAGAGCGGGGGAAACCCAGGATCGAGAGGTGAGCGAACGCCGGTATATGTTCGCTCACCTCTCGATCTACTGAGCCGACCTGCGACAGTCATTGTCACAGGTCGGCTAGAACTATGAGGTGAGTGAAAAGCACTCGCCTCATAGTTCTCCTTTAAGGTCACGGCAAAGGACAAGGGGGCACTTTTTCCTCATGCAATGGTTAAACCTCTTTTCCTCCAGTTTGTTTAAAAAAAAAATAAAAATCTGGATGCATTCCTAAATGCAGAGAATATTACTGGATATTGAGTTTATAGGTATATTAAGCATCAGAGATTGTTGATCCAGGGAATATCTGATTACCTTATGGTATCAGGAGGGAATTTTTTCCCCCTGTAGGAGCAAATTGAACCATGCTTTATAGGGGTTTTTTTTGCCTTCCTCTGGATCAACAGGGGGTAATTGTGGGCATAGCGTTGTTTAGGCTTTTTTTCCCCCATATCTCTATAGGTTGAACTCAATGGACTTGCATCTTTTTTCAACCCGACTATGTAACTACGTAATAAAGTCCAGACTGATGTCACACAAAAGTAAGCAGCACAGCCATCTAACCTACCTAAATATATGAAGCACTAGATCTAATAATGAAAAATTACAAACCTATAATAAAATTAAACAAAAATGATATGCAAATTATTATGCTCCTCTGATGTATGATGAAAATCGGGAAAAAATCCCAGTGTGATGAATAAGCACTCTGCACTCTGGATATGCTGAATAGGTGTCCAATACAATGCAATTTAATATAGTGAAAAGGTATCCAGTAAATCTGTAGGTGAATCCACAAAGCAAGATGCTATTTTGATCTAGAATCATTCTCAAACAAATTC